GGGTGGCTTAGTGGGCGTGGCAGGGGAAGGATACTGTAAAATCTCCAGTCAGAGGTGGGATTTGCCGGTTCTCCAACCTACTCAAAATTTCCGCTGTCGGTTCTCCGGAACTGGTTAGAACCTGCTGAATACCGCCTCTTGCCCCATTTTACGACTTATGTGAATCAATGCAGTTGTTAAGTTAGTAACACGGTTGTTAAGTGAATCTGGCTTCCCCATTGACTTTGCTTGTCTGGAGGTCACAAAAGGGGATCACATGACCCCAGGATTCTGCAACTCTCATAAATAGGAGTCAGTTGCCAAATGTCTGAATTTTGATCACGTGTCCACAGAGATGCTGCAATGATCGGAAGTGTAAAAAACAGTCACAAACCACATTTGTCCATGCCGTAACTTCGCACAGTCACTAAATGAACTGTTGTAAGTCGAGGACTACCTGTATCTCATCTCCAGGCTTGTTCCGTTAAAAACTACTCCCCTCCCAATAATTCTTGGTTCCTTAGATAACTGAAGGTGAAAACACTCTGAGCTATCAAGACATGACTGGCATATTCTTGTGCAAGAATCTAATTTTTTATTCTCATTCGCTCCGTTGATCCTTAGCCTCTTCCTTTAGTCAGCCAAATAGTTATGCATAAAACAGTCTCGGCCCTCCGGTTGTAGGTTCAGTTTCCTTCCAGCCCAAAGTCCATTGTTTCACATGGCTGAAAAACATAAAAGATGGAATTGACAATTTTTTAGACCATTAACTTCAACTTCCTAGTGCTGGAATCCAAATTAAAGCATCCCAGACAGATCACTTCTAGCCTCAGACATCACCTGACAGGAAACCCTTCACCTCTATGGTTAGTTGGGTTCTCGGCCTAACTGCTTTTACAGCTAGGAACTATTTAAAATATTTAGTTGGAGTCTGCCTGCTGTAACGCAAGTTTATTGCTTTGTGTCCTATTTTCCTATCCAGGGTTTTAGTTCTGCTTGAGTCCAATCAATTATGCCCTCCGTCCTTAATGACTGGATTTGCCCAGGTGTTTGATCTTTATAGAAAGCTTCTGATGTCTCTGGCAGGGAATTGAATTGCCTTCATGTAATGAATCCAAGATCCTCTGAAGTTGGTCTTCCTTCTCTTGCAATTTTCTAAATGGAATGGGATGGAGTAGAGTAGAGTAGAGTAGAGTAGAGTAGAAGAGAAGAGAGAGTAGGATAGGATAGAATAGAATAGAATAGAATAGAATAGAATAGAATAGAATAGAAT